CCGACCCTGCTTCCCCACCCGCGGCTCAGGCCTGGGCTCCGCCTTCGCCATGACGTCAGCCCGGCGGCTGACCCGCCTCTAACTGACCTTCGGGGCCCACCCGCGCGGCGGGAGCGCGGTCCTCGGTGCAGCTCCACCCCCCGGCCCGGGCGCAGCCGCCCCCTTGGGAACCCGCGGCTCCCTTCCACCCTTGTTGACGGGACGTCGCCCACGTTTGGTGTTTGCGAATCTGTGCCTGTTCCCAGCCTCCCAGTGCCCGGGCCGGGCCAGAACCCTGCGCTGCCTGCCACCCCCAGATGAGAGTTGACATCTTGCTGAGCCTAAGGGAAGAAACAAGCGCCCCAAGTGCTGAGGTTTTGAGCAACTCCGTGGCACCCTCAGTCTGGACTCCTTTTGCCAAGAACCCGGACTCTCGCCCGCAGGAGGTCTCCCCGTGCTCGCTCCTTGCGGGCTAGGCCGCCGCAGAGCCCTTGCCTCCAGGCCTCCGGGCTGCGTGTTCAGGCCCGCGAGCTACCCTTACCTGGAAATAGACCAGTTGCTCTCCAAAATCGTTGGGTTCACACTTATCAACAGCTCTACTACAATAAATAACATTTCAGGAGTATTTCTTGAAAAATACCTACTTCTTCCATGTCTCCAGATCAGTGGTACTCCAAGGGGAAGAGGAGTGTGACCAGAAGGAGACAACCGGCAAGCCCGATTTGAAGAACCACATTTCATTTAATAATATACTTTTATATTTTGAAAACAAAGTGTGATTTTTAATAGCCTCTAGAAATAAAAATTGAGTTTATTGGATGATAAGATGCATGTATAAAATATTGAAAAAGACTAGACCTAAACACCCTGCACCTTATCTTTGCATAAGTCAGATCATCAGAAAGGCAAACTCCAGACTGAAACTCTTAAACACACCACCCAAGAATATCCCTCAAACAGTGCATTTACACAAGCTTTGGGGTTTATGCCATCAGCTAAATTAAGAAATGGTCCACGAGATTGCTCCTCACAGCTGTCGATGGGAATTGGGGAAGATGCTACATACTCAACAGTCTCCACATGAAGATCTGGGAATAGAATCTCAGTTCCCAGCACCAGAAGGAGCTATGCTTCTATGTCACCTTGTGACTCCTGAACATTGGAGGTGATCGTGTTTTCTTTGGCAGCTCTTAAGTACTAAGTCACCTTTCTCTCTTTTCCTTCCTCCTCTACAAAGGTTCCTGGGTGCTTGCTATGTAGTAATAGCTCCCAGGTTCATCTAATTTTCTTTATTGCTATTTTGTCTTTGTCCCAACTTCCTCATGTCCTTGATTGTTATGTCATATTAATCCTATCAGCCATGTCAAATAATATATAGAGAAAATTTTAATATTAAATATAAATATATATCCCTAGAAGTATGACCTCTGAGGGTCTGAAGACTGCTTTTAACTGAGGTTAAGGATAAGTGGGCAGATCAAGCTGAGCAGTGCTTCACAAATTTTAGCGTGCATCCTGGGGAGCTTAGTAAAACACAAATTGCTGGGTGCCACCCTCAGCTTTTCTGATTCAGCAGGCTTGCAGTGGCACTCAAGAATTTGTATGTCTAAAAAATTCCCAGGGGAACAATTTTCTAGGGACCACACATTGAAAACCACTGCACTAAAGTACCTCTTCAACAATCTATGCTGCAATCATCCCAATCAGATGGATGACTATCTTCCAGGAACCCTTGAAGGACTGATAGGGTTCAAGTGTCAGGTACTATCCTGTGGACAAAATTCACAGCTGTGGCAAACTTCAACACAGGCTAGGCAGCACGGATAGAAGCTAAGAAAGTCAGAGCATGACCCCAGCCCGCCATGAACTAAGGGAGTAGAGCAGAAGATGAAGAGTCACAGGCAGATGGTATAAAATTCTGTGGTAGGCCCTGGATGGGTAGCTCAGTTGTTTAGAGTGTCATCTTGATACGCTGAGATTTCAAGTTTGATCCTTGGTCAGGGCACATATAAGAATCAACCATTGAATGCATAAATAAGTGGAACAACAAACCTCTCCCCCCCCCC